AATTAACTTCCCGAACTTCGAGGGCCAGTATTTCACAGGGTTAGCTACTTTGATTCCTTGCGATCTACGGCACTCAAAAGTGCAAAAACGCATAATCGCACCGGCCCGCCTGGTGCGTTCCAGCCTGGGTTTTTATGCGTTTTTGCTGTGTAGCGCTATAGCGCTGCTACAGCCAGCAAAAACGCATACTGTCGAGAGGCTGTGTGTGTGCATGTGTTCGGAAAGCGAATGCATTTTGTCACCCACTTTCATCTCAGCAACCAGGAAATCTGGGGCTGAAACTTTGGATATATGTTCCTACGCCGTGTGTCATCCCCCCGTTTTAAGATCTTTCCCCATAGGCGCCTGAACCCTGCGTACGGGACCCCCAAAGAAATTTGTTGGCGGGAAACGATTTCGAGAACCAGGCAACGCAGAAAGCTGAAACTTTGCAGGGATATTCTCTATGCACGTGCGAGCTGAAAATTTCAAACTCAGCTCTCTAGCTCCCCAACCACAGCCTCAAGCAGCTCCTGAACCCAAAGATCGTTAGCAACTCGGGCCTTAACCGCAAACGTATATGTAAATGAACGTGCATCTTTTGACAAACGACTGCTCGAGCAATACTTCTACTTTTTAGTGAACTGGGAATTTGCATTTTTTCAACAAATTTACATTTGTCATTTTTTCACAAAGCGAGCATTTACCAAAAAAACGACCGGACTCCATGCAAAAAAACGGTAATCATGCACCTGGATGTCCGTGCGGCTCTATAACGCACCATCTTCATCCCAACTGGTGCCCTTCCTCCTGCATGCCAGAAAGGATCAAAACACGGCCAATATTATCCCAAGTGTTAGGCTACAGCATAGGGATCATTCCTGTTAATAGCGATCTGCGAGTTTAGTGCAAAAACGCATGATCGGACCGGAGAGCCTGGTGCGTTCCAACGTGGGTTTTAATATTAGTAAAATTTTTGCCCAAATAGAATCCCACCAATAAGTGGCAGAATTCTGACGAGAATTGTATTTAGAAAGGATTATTATCGTCGTTGAAGGAAAGTATTGCTAGCGCTGCTGAAACAGTCAAAGAGAAAGCCGTCGATGCGGTCGATATTGTAAGTTTACATTTAATTTAAGCTATAAAAGTTACCATGACACCAAAACCGCCCGACCTATTAGTCCAGATACTCCATGTGATGTTACAGAGATGCTCCCACCTGCCAGGCGCAACAAATGCCAGGCTTTTCGATCCTGGGCTGAATACACACCGCCTGCTCAATGTACCTCACCTCTCGTTCGCCTGCTCATGAGTACCACTCAAAATTGTGCGACCTTCACAAGTTGTCGGTAAGACAAGTAACATGCCCTGTTCGTCGGATATTACCTCCTTGCGTGAGCAACATATCCTGAATAGCTCTCATCTGACAGACTGTTTATATATGGCCACGAAAAGACGTTAAACATCTTTCGTCCTACCGCTCTCTTCGTCACAACTATCTTGCGAGGGTTAATCGCAACAAGAACTATGTCCCTAGCTCATCCGCGAAGCCTAGACCATTTAGTTTTTTTTTTTTTTTTCGCTTTTGATCACCAGATCACCCTCCCAGTCCAGCTTCTGAGATAACATCTCGAACCAGGCTGTGGAAAGCATAGGCGACAGAGGGTCACCTTAATTCACTTCCATCTCGACCAGTGTACGGGACTAGAGCTAGAAAAAAGTGTTATGCCTGTCGAACGCCTATGTTAGCTTTCTCAACAGTTACCACGTAGTTCCCATAAACCCTTCTCTGTAGCAGAGCATTTACCTTTTTGGCATTCGAAAAACAGTAGACAGTGAAGAGGCCGATCTCCCTCGCATGTGCCAGTAGCTGATCCAGAAAAAATATGTAAATTACTATGGATCCAGCTTGCTTCCTCGACTGCTGCTCATTGGGGGCATTTGTTAACCGTTTATTAATAAACAGCTTGTAAATATGAGAAAATAAGTAGACCAAACGATAGTTAAATGAACACATACATGTATAAC